GCAGCGAAGATGAATCCAATGCTTAAAAATACACAGATCACATATATTGTTTTATTTGATCCTCACCGCAGCCATATAATGTAGGTGAAAAAAGAAATTATTATTTTTTCAGCCATTTTCCATGTGCTCTCTCTTTTCCTGAAACATACTTTCCTCTGATATCTATGTAGCTTTTTTCCTCACTTCTTTCAAGTTTTCCCTCAAATGTTACCTATTCAGAATTTTCCTTGACCAGCCAATTAAAATAGTGCCCCACTGCACCCCAACCCACATCATCCCTCCTACTCTGCTTTAATTTGCTCCATGGTCCTTTTGCCATCTGACAACACATGGTTTTTGTTTGCTCTCTCTACTTGAATGTAATCTCCATGGGGGGTGGGAATTTATTTTGTTTGTTATTATTTCTCCAGTCTCTAAAGAGTACCTAGCACATAGTAGATGCTCAAGAAATAAACAGATGCATGTACTATTTCTATTTCATTAAAAAAGCAAGTCAGGAACAGCAGGCTTAAGAGATTTGATCAACACGGCACATCTAATGAGTGGCAGATTGAGTTCTACATCACAGGTGTCAATTCTGAGTCACCCTATATTTTCAGGACAGCCATAAAACAATTGTGCTAACTTGATGTACACTATTGACTTCACTGGCCTTAATTTCTGGAACAATGTGGGATCTGAAACCTTCTTTCACCATTTTATGAGTGTTATCTGGAGCAAAAAAACAAAATTAAAATGGGCTACCTTTACTGATCCTGGGTAGGATGGTCAGAAAACATCTAAACTGTGGGGTAGGCAGAGCAATCAGCACCACGCCGAGAACTGTCACGCACATTTCTTTGGGTGCCAATCTTACTTTCACCATCCCTAAACAAGACCTTGGCAAACCATTCCAAAGCACTCCTTGACAATAAGCAAACAGTAATGTCTGCTACAATAATAGCATCTTGAGGGATGGTGTTATTAAGATACGAAAGCCATTGGCTACTCCCAGGGGTGCACCACTGAGCAGTACGACAGGTATGTGATACCACATGAGCAGTGGAGAGGGGAATGGCCTTTGACAATGGGCCCAATAATTGTTGTGCTTCAGTCTGATTGTAAGTATAGCAATAAGGAAGATCTCACATAATTTTAGATAACACTTTCTCCTGGTTTTTAGGGATGATTAACACACTTCTAGTACTAAACATAATTTAATTTAACCTGACTCAGAAACAGTAAACTCTCCATTGTGCCATTCTATTAGCCTGTGTACCAACCTATCCTCTATTGACCAGCACTTTCAAACAAATCCTAGAAGTGAGTGTTCAAATTGCAAGAGGCCTAAGAGATCATCCATTAAAAGCCCTTGATTTTAAGGTGAAGAAACTTAGGCTAAAGTGACTTCTCAGTTATACCCGGCTGGGAAGCAGTGCAGAGTCAGCCCAGCACCCCCAATGTACATCTTACTGCACACAGTAGGACCATATTTTGCACAGGGTCTGCCTTTTCCAGCGAACTGTTAACTGGATGGATTTGGAAATGAACAACCTTGAAGGCTGGCAACATCATGAAGTAATTCTTCATAAATCATTGTGAGGAACACACATTAAATGATCTTCATTACACTATTAGTGTTCTTTAGGTAGTGGTTGGTCTCTGACAATTTATAATGTCAGTGAGGGTTATCTATAATACATGTTATTATTGAAAATATTTGGTTAAGCAGTACAGTCTATTCCCTGACCAAACTTAAAAGCATAATGTTTATTTTTCTTGGAATTACAATGTTGGAAACCAATAAAGAATCAGAAAGGCTGGGCACAACTAATACAGAATTATCCCAGCTAATGCCTATTCTATAATAATTTATTTATTCACTTCACAAACATATATACTGACCATCTTGCATGTGCCAGTGTGCAAGACATTCACTAGCTCTTCACCAAACCATTTTCCTTTTCCTCCTGGGCGCAGGTAGACTACTGTCTTCAGCCTCTGTTGCAGTTAGCTGCAGCCATGTGACTGACTGTGTTCTGGCCACTGGGTTGTGAGCAGCAGGGAAATAGGCCACAAGACCCTCCTACATGTGATCCTCCATTTACCTCCCTCATTGTCCAACCAGATGCAGAAAATCTAATGAAACAGTCTGAGCTGCTTTCATTAGACAGCAGAGCCACAGGATTAGGAGCCTGGGTCACATTTGGAGGAGAGAGATGTAAGTGCCATGAGAACATAGCAGAACAACAGAACACCTTAGGAAAGGCTTTCCAGAAGTTGTGGTATCAGAATAGGACACTGATTTAGGATTCAGATTGGAAGAAAAGAAAGCAGGGTCACCTTAGGCCAAAGAGAAAGTATACATAAAATTTTAGATGTGAAATCTTAAATGTCATAAACAACAGGTTGTCTACCATAGGTGCAGTACACAGTAAAACACAGGCAAAGGTCTGAGTCTTAAGAAAAAAACTGAGGTGTGGTCAGATTATGAGGAGCCTGCGTGCCAAGGTAAAGAATTTAGACTTTACCCTAAAGGCAGTAGAATCCAGGTAGCAGACTACTGGAAAAGTCCAGGCAAGAGACAATGCAGGACTGATCTGGGCTGCATCAAAGGACATTGATACAAAAAAACATATATAAGAGACCATTCCGAGGCAATTATATTCAAGTCGCTATTAGGTATAAGAGTTAAAAAGTTAACATTAACGAATGTAGGGAACACAGAGAAGATACAGATTAGAAGGAAAAAGATGATAAATTTGCTTTTAAATATCTTGAATTTGAGGTCCAAGTTGGAGATGCTATCCAGTGGGCATTTTGCATTACATATGTAGAATTTAGAAAAAAATTAAAAGTTGGAATTATAAATATGGGAGTTGGCAACATAGGGATGGTGTTTCAGCCAGTGGAGTGGATGAGATCTGCCAAGAAAAGAGTGTAGAGTGAGAAAGGAAGAAAGAGAAGATTTCACAGAATATTTGAAAGAGTAGTTAGAGGAGTATAAAAAGCATCACGACAGGACAGTGTCATGAAAACAAAAGGAGGAGAGACTTAACGTGTTAGATTTTAAAGACCCCTCATCTCGAGGTCAGACCAGCCCCAGTGGGGACACCTGCTATACAAACTGCCCATAGAGTAGGGTTACAGAGCCTATAACAGTGTCAGACACTGAGCATGTTCCAGGATTTGCCAGAAAATGCAAATCTGTCATCACATTCAAGCAATCCATTCTGGCAGGAAGGCAGAGATGGAGCAACAGCTCAAACATCAAGTAAATGCAGACCCTAGGAGGTGGACGATCAAGACTGGACAAAGGAAAAAGGTCCAGGAGTTTTTCAGAGCTCCTGTTTATCAAATTCTGTCCAGAGTGTAGTCAGAACAAACACAACAGGTGGTCGGTTGTTTCCAGGAATGGAAGCCCTGAAGGATGACTAGGGAATAGCAGTTGGGTGTTTGGGCAAGTTTGTTAGTTTTGGAGGTAGATGCCACCTTGCCCTTGAGGAAGTCAAGGCCAGTGACTGAAGACGTCTTCCTCAAGAACGTTAATGGACTTTTGTGTGAAAGTTCTAGTAGCAAGCAGGGTGAACAGGAAACTTCTTCAGGATCTTTTTAGGTTAAAGGTAAAAATCTACTGGAGAATGAGAAATGAAAGATCGAAAGAGCATGTAATATAAGGAGTTAAGGTGGAAATCAGAGGCGATGGGACCAGAAGTACCTATGGAGAAGCTAGCTGTGAAAACAATGTCCTATCTTGCATTATTGTCTTAGTCCATGCTGCTAAAACAAAATACCTGAGACTGGGGAATTTATAAATACTAGAAATTCCTTTCTCATAGTTCTGAACTATGAACTGGGCTGGAAAGTCCAAGATTGAGGGGCCAGCAGATTTGGTGTCTGGTGAGGGCTGCTCTCTGCTTCCAAGGTGGTACTTTGTTGCTGTGCCCTCACATGGCACTAATCGAGGGCAAAATGTCCTAGCGAGATCCTGTAGCCTTTCTATAGGTCCTTAATCCCATTCATGAGACCTCTGTCACATTGACTTAATCACCTCCTAAAGTTCCCACCTCTTGATACCACATATCACATTGGTGATATGAATTTTGGATGATATGTTCATACCACAGCATTTATCTTGCCCCTCACTCTCCCCACCTTTTTTTTTTTTTTTTGGTGGTGGTGGTGGGGGAAACAGTAGGAAAATAAGGATGAACAATGAGGGATATTGAGGGCATTTGTAACTGATGGTCTTTATTCTCTTAGTGAAGAGAATAAGCTGGGTGATCCACCAGAGAGCTGAAATGTGGAGGATGCACAGTTTGAAGAGAGAGTAAAGTCGTAGAATGGGGGCTGCAGAGAAAGAGGACTGTCCCGCATATATGAGTAACTAAATGTTCCCTAAATGATCAGGAACCTGAGCTGGAGCCCGGTGATGTCATAATTGTGCTTGATCAGAAAACTCTAACTCAGAGCTAGAATGTTCTTAGAGGTGATTAGAGCCAAAAGAGCTAAGAACAAGGAATTAAGTAAATAAATCAGATGTTTTTCCTGGTGGGAACAAAGGAAAGAAAAGGGGATGAGGAATCCAAAAGTGTCAATGGGGGCACGATGGGAAGGACTGACTGACTAGTCTACTATCAGCTGTTCTGGGCTAAGCTCATACCCTATCACGGTTCCCATCACAGCGCCTGGCCCATAAAAAGGCAGTCAAGAAATGTAGAATAAATGAATGAACAAGTGAATGAATGAATGAACAAGCACATGCCTGAAACTCAGGCTGGTGATGGGAGAAATGAAGGGGGAGGACGTTAAAAGACTGAAAGACTAGGAAGGATTCAAGAAGCGGGAGAGTGTGATGAGGCAGAAGAACAGGTTTTGTAGAAGTGAAAAGGTTTGGGAAGAATAAAAATGGAGTCATTTCAAAATTCAGATTTTCAGAGGAGCAGTTCAAAATGATCTGAACAGGCGGCGGCGCGGGCGGGGAGGCGGCGTGGCCGTGACGCGCGGGCGGCGGGGGCCTGGCAGGAGGCGGCGGGGTCGCGCTGACCGGGCCCGCCCCGCCCCGCAGAGACGAGATGGTGAAGGAGACCGAGTATTATGACATCCTGGGGGTAAAGCCCAGCGCCTCCCGGGAGGAGATCAAGAAAGCCTATCGCAAGCTGGCGCTCAAGTACCACCCGGACAAGAAGCCGGGTGAGGGCGAGAAGTTTAAACTTACATCCCAGGCATATGAAGTGCTTTCAGATCCCAAGAAAAGGGACGTTTATGACCAGGGCGGAGAACAGGCAATTAAAGAAGGAGACTCAGGTGGCCCCAGCTTCTCTTCACCCATGGACATCTTTGACATGTTCTTTGGTGGTGGAGGACGGACGGCCAGAGAGAGAAGAGGCAAGAACGTTGTACATCAGTTGTCTGTAACTCTTGAAGACTTATATAATGGAGCCTCAAAGAAATTGGCCCTCCAGAAAAATGTAATTTGTGAGAAATGTGAAGGCATTGGTGGGAAGAAGGGGTCCATGGAGAAGTGCCCGCTGTGCAAGGGGCAGGGGATGCTGACCCGCACCCAGCAGACGGGCCCGGGCGCGGTGCGGCAGGTCCAGACCGTGTGCGTGGAGTGCAGGGGCCAGGGCGAGCGCGTCAACCCCAAAGGGCGCTGTGGGTGCTGCCGCGGTGCCAAGGTGCCCCGCGAGAGGAAGATTAGCCAGCTGTTCTCCAAGTGTACCCTGAATATTTTGTGGCTTTCTAATCCCATATCAGAGATGAGACGAAAAGTAAAAGAATCAACACCCAGAAAGAAGAACACAGGTATGAAAGATGGGCAGAAGATGCTGTTCCACGGAGAAGGAGGTCAGGAACCTGGGCTGGGGCCCGGTGATGTCATAATTGTGCTTGATCAGAAGGACCGTAGTGTCTTTCAGAGACGAGGCCATGACTTAATCATGAAAATGAAAATTCATCTTTCTGAAGCTCTTTGTGGCTTCAAGAAGACAGTAAAAACCCCGGATGATCGGATTCTTGTTATTACATCCAAATCAGGTGAGGTGATAAAGCATGGGGACCTGAAGTGTGTGCGAAACGAAGGAATGCCCATCTGCGAAGCACCCCTGGAAAAAGGGACTCTGATCATACAATTTTTGGTAATCTTTCCTGAAACACACTGGCTTTCTCCAGAAAAGCTTCCTCAGCTGGAAGCTCTGCTCCCTCCTCGACAGAAAGTGAGGATTACAGATGACATGGATCACGTGGAGCTGAAGGACTTTAATCCCAGTGAGCAGAGCTGGCGCCAGCACGGGGAGGCCTACCAGGAGGATGATGACGGGCCCGGGCCGGAGTGCAGTGCCAGACGGCGTGACATGGCAGTCAGCGCAGCCCTGCCGGACTAGCACATGAAGAATGTAAAGTTGGCACAATGAAAATGGCATCGCTTTAATGGCCTCGTGTTTGGGGTGTCCTGTGTATGTGTTCAGCATTCAATTGCTAAGTGTCTTTTTGGGTTTTCTTTTGGTTGTAACTCAAGTTATAGCTTAATTTATCTTTAAATGTTTTAAGTGTAAATCACCTCTAGTGTGCATATGGAATCTGTTCATTTACATTTTCAAGATATGCTTTTGAGGTGCCAGTGACCACACTGACACTCTGTGCTTCTCTTGGCTTTGCCATGTTCAGTTCCACCAGTAAAGCACAGCCGGTAGCAGCACCCAGCCCCCTAGCGAACCCCAAGGCACAAAGTGGACATCCTGGCCCATCTCTAGGTCTGTGGTTTCTCTTCCCTTCCCCTCTCCCTCCCTTGGCAGAGTTACTAGGGCATGATCTCAGGGCTGCTGAGATGACATTTCTGAACTAGATTCTAGATCCTCTAAAGAATAAAAGCACATCTGTGGATCGGGCTTGGCTTCCTGTGCCTGGTTAGCAGACCCAGTTGCAGGGCCAACTTAGTCCCTACTGTTCTGTGCCCTTCAGTGGTTGGAATGGGGGATGTGATACAATCAGATACAATCATCTCTCTTGGAAGTCTTCTGAACCTTCCAAACCCTGTGGTGAGGATAAACCAGTGTTGTTTAAATGATACACTGATATCACTGTTTGCCTATGACTTCTGCACCTTGTTTTTTGTGGTTTTGTGACTTTTCTGTTGACAGCCTTTGCAGTGCTCTCCCCACCAAAGTGCTTGCTTGTAAAGACGAAACCCTCCCATGCACCCAGCAGGCTCAGTGCAGCAACAGAAGCCACGGGAGAATGCTAGTGGCTTGGCCGTATGGCACAGCCAGCTTCTCCTCTGACCAGTGATCCTGGGTGACTTGGGGATCTGGAAAGGCATAGAACTCAAGTGTTTTCCACCTCGTTCTCCCAGGTTCAGCTTCCCTCCAAAGGATCGTTCCTCTCATTGCACAGCCATATTACAAAGGGCTTCCTGCTCAAGTGATATTTTGGCAAGAACTACTAACCGACTTCTGTTGTGGACTATAGTTTGTATGGACTACCACTGTAAATTGTAGCTTGGTTGGAGGGATATTAGAAATTATTTTATCCCTGGAAGGTAGACTACAATTTGAACTTAGGGTTACCTCAAACCTTTAGCCATTACTGTTTCTTTCCTACAAGTTGTGAAGAAAAACTGCTACCTTCAAAGCTGCTGGGTTAAAGCAGAAGTCACCAGTCATGTCTACGCTTATTTGGTTATATGCTACCTAGAGTTTTGACTCAGACCAGGGACCTCCCCTAAGAGGGGCATAGGGCAGATCAGACCATGGCAGGTAGGGTGAGCCAGCTGGATGGACCAGGTTGAACATTGGTCAGCACAGATATAAAACTGATACTTCCAACCTAAACTACGTGAAAATCAAGTTATAAATGGACCACAACTCCAGGGTGTTGTTTCTGTGCTGTGACTTCCTTCCTAATAAATTATTGCTAAATAATTAGTTTAGTTGGTGATGGAACAAAATTACATTCAGCTCCTTGTCATTTAAGAGGAATTTGGAGGGTGTTGCTTAATTTTATTCCACCTGTACATTTGTCACCTTAAAATTAAAACAGCTGGTATGAGAAAAAAAAAATGATCTGAACATCCAAAACCTGCCCCTGTAAATGGAATTGGAAAAATGGAATGGGCTGGATGTGGTGGCTATAATCCCAGCACTTTGGGAGCCTGAGGCAGAAGGATCACTTAAGGCTAGGAATTTGAGACCAGCCTGGGCAACATAGTGAGACCCCATCTCTACAAAAAATTTAGAAATTAGCCAGGCATGGCGGCACATGCCTATAGTCCCAGCTACTCGGGAAACTGAGGCAGTAAGGTCACTTGAGCCCAGGAGTTTGAGGCTGCAGTGAGCTATGATGGTGCCACTGCACTGTAGCCTGGGCAACAGAGCATGACACTCTCTCTAAAAAATAAATAAAAAATGGAGATAAATGTCACTGTGAGTGCAGACAATTAGGTGGCTCATCGGTAAATATCATGATGTACTTAAGATGGCAGCAGATGATGAAGTGAGACTATAAGCCAAGCTCCAAAGTCCTTGAGGATTAAAAAAGAAATGACCCAGAGACAACAGTAACAAGAACTTGAATATATCATTGAGATGATAATATGCATCCTCCCTACCACCTAGAAATCTTGTAAAGATCAAATAAAAGAATAATTGTATTAATGTCTTTGTTTGGAATTAAGAGATACAAGTGTCCTTCAAAGGAGGAGAGATTGTTAAATGAAAGCCACATAAAATTGTCGGGAAGAAGTTGCAAGGAGCCAGGATAACATGGAGTCTTCTTCAAGAAGCCAAAACATAGGAGCAACCCCCAAAGTATTGTGGGGAAGCAGTGCCACTTGGAGTAAAGCTGGGTTTCCGAACAAGGAAACAGGCAAAGAAAATCATTTTAGCTACTACTTAAGTGCCAAATTCCAGGAGCTTTATCTGTTAATATATCTCACGTTGAATTCTCAAAGCAACCATGCAAAATAGGCACCATTATCTTCAAATTACAAAGGAGGAAGCAGGGATTCTGGCCAAGCAATTTCCCTAAGTTGCACAGATATAAAATTTGAATTTTAAAATTTCAGAATTTGAACCCAGCTCAGGCAGATCAAATCCCATTCCCTTTCCCCTATAGGACTCTATGTTAAACTTTGATGTATTTAGCACTCTATAGGGGAAATGAGGATATAAAGCATTAGAATGATACACACATGACTAGAGGAAGACAGAGGCAGAAGAGAAAAGCTGAGCTGGAGAAGACCGGAGAGTGGGTGAGGGTAGCTCACAAGAGGGATCTGCCTTTACTGATGGGTGGGGCTGGGGCTGCAGGGAGCTGGGAGGTGGCAGGAAGAGAGCAAATGAAACTAGTTAACCTTGATTTTCAACCTGGATGTTGATACTCAGTGGTTGTGGTGTCTGTATAAAGTCCGTTACCGCCAGTATGTAGGTTAACTGGCTGCTTTTTTTAATGTTAGATTATTATTATTATTTACATGAAACAGTCAAGCAACCATCTTGTCACTTTAACAAGCACCCTTGAGGAATCGATTAAAAATTCCCATCTCGGAGGACTTACATATGTACAGTAACAGCTTGGGTAAATTTACTAATTCATCTAATCAGCCTGCCATGTTATTAGCCAATTTCCCTAAATCTTGTTATAATTTACACATTAAAAAGGAAACGTCTTCCAATTATCTTTCTGCAAGATTAGAGGAAACATATAACACATCCTTTCAGATGATCACTCATGACTCTAAAGTATCTTATAGAGGACAGTAGATAAAATCACATTCCTAAAGCATTTAGGTTGTTTCAAAACTGCTCTTTCAAGCATTTTGAGTGTCATTTTTATGATCGTTTTTGTGCCATTTATTTTTTTTGACAAACGCTTTCTTTATGTGTAGCACAGAGACATACAACAGTCAGGTTCCAAATGGCTCATCAAAAGTTCTGAGTTAGAGAATTTAGAATAAAGTGAGCTATTATTTAGGATAAATGCTGAAGCAGGGATAGCTTTGTAACTCAAATATGACTGGGCTATTTGGGGCAGCTTCTCTTCTTCTCACTCCTGGCCCATGTTGGAAATCCTAATTACATTTAGTTGTACTCCTCAACATGTCCTCTGCCCCTTACCAACCTCTCTCAATATTCTAACTCCATAAATATTATTTCTTCACACAGCATACAAAGGAAAATTTCTTCCATTAGACTTCTTTGTCTAGTGGCATTTCCCCTCTTCTCTCTCCCCATTTGGCCTCTCAAACCCATCTCTAATTCAGCTCTTTTTCACCATCCTTTACAATAAAGAGGGGAATTAGATTTTTTATTTGCCCTCTAACACAAGGGAGTCATTTATACCCAAACACTCATTTCACTGATCAAAAACTATTGACTAAAGAAGGTTTGGTGTGGCGCAGCTAGGCAGAGAATAGGGATCTTTATGTACAATTGCTTTTCTCACCATCACATTCAGTAATCTCTGAATATTCTTCCAACTCTAACATTCTATCATTTGCCTGCTCTGTCGTTCACAATGAATTTGGACACTGATGTATAATGGTCTACGTAAAGTTATAACACTGTGAGTGATTTGGGATGGGGGGACTCCCTGTCTCTAATTTTTTGTTGTTTTTTTAATCGACAAATAAAAATTGTGTATATTTGTGTGTGTCTGCATATAGTGTGCAACATGATGTTTTGAAATATGTGTATGTTGTGAAATGGCTAAATTTATTGTATATTGTTCTTAACTGTAGTCACTATATTGTAAAATATACCTCTTGGGTCTATTTCACCTAACTGAAATTTTGTATCCTTTGACCAACATCTCCCTGATTTTCCCTCCCCTACAGCCCCTAGCAATCAGCATTCTACTCTCTACTTCTTTTTTTTTTTTTTTTTTTTTTTTTGAGACAGAGTCTCACTCTGTTGCCCAGGCTAGAGTGAGTGCCACGGCGTCAGCCTAGCTCACAGCAACCTCAAACTCCTGGCTCAAGCAAGCCTCCTGCCTCAGCCTCCCAAGTAGCTGGGACTACAGGCATGTGCCACCATGCCCGGCTTATTTTTTCTCTATAAGTTGGCCAATTAATTTCTTTCTATTTATAGTAGAGACGGGGTCTCGCTCTTGCTCAGGCTGGTTTTGAACTCCTGACCTCGAGCAATCCGCCCGCCTCGGCCTCCGAGAGAGCCCGGCCTACTCTCTACTTCTGAGTTCAACTTTTTAGAATTCACATACAAGTGAGATCATAAGATATTTGTGAGATATTTGTCTTTCTGTGCTTGGCTTATTTCATTTAGCATAATGTCTCCAGGTTCATGCATCTCGTTGCAAATGACAGGATTTTCTTCTTTTTTAAGTTTCAATAATATTTCAGTGTGTCTGTGTATGTATATATATATATATTTATATATGTGTGTCTATAATATATAACATTTTTTATCCATTCTTCCTTGATGGGCACTTAGGTCGACTCTATATCTTGGTTATTGTGAATAATGCTACATTGCACATGGGAGTACAGGTGTCTCTTCAACATAATGATTTCATTTCCTTTGAATATGTACCCAGCAGTGAGATCG